GTTTGAAATTGTTCGTGAAGTATATATCATTTTCAAGCTCCATCGCTCTTCCACCAATAAAACTGAATTAAATTTGAGATTGATTTTAGGATTATTCATGAATGGCCATCTTTCATTTGGCGTTCCAATGCTAAAATAGTTTCGATAGATTCTTATTAGAGATAATGACTCAAATAAATTTTATAAGGCATTAAGGACTGATGATGTCTGTTAACAATCATTTATTTATTTTTAATAAGTATTTTAAAAAAGTTAATTTTCCAAATAACTAGAATTCATGCTTCATTTTCAATTATAAATATTCTCTATTAGTGAGAAAAATCTCTCTCATTCTCTTTCTTTTCTTATTGGCCTTTGACCCCACATGTTCTTAAAAGAAGCTAAGAAAACTATCGTTCTTACGTGAATTATAGTTCTCACTTACAGTCTCCAATACATCTCTACTTAGAGCACGGGGTTATTATTAATAAATCGATTATATTGAGAATAATCAAGATCCAAAGTTCATATAAGTTTTAATTTTTGCCTTCAAATAGGTGTATACCATCATCTTTAGATTTTCCATTGAAAAATATGTTGGCTATCCTCAATAGATGAATCAAATTTTAAGTTTTCAAATATCAAATGTCAATATTAATGATACTAAGCATCAACATTGGCTTTGATGTCATTAGTATCATTAAGATGAGTTGCAGTGGAGGTAAATGGGTTATCCTTACTTGAAATATCAATAAAATAGCCTATAATCAAGTTGTTAGAATAAACTTTCAATATTTATGTGAGTGTGATCCTAATGTTTGGTAACTTGCCTCTTATAAGAGACTAATATTCTTTACAAGCTCTTATAATATGTGTCTTATTGAAAACTCAATATGTTGTAGTTAAATCTTTGGTTCATCAACAAAAAAATATTTCTCCCATGCGAGATTTCATTGACTAGGATACCTTCAAGAGTTTTTACCATTGAAGATTTTTAAATGAATTGAAATCATTTGTCTTTTGAAGTTTTTTGTTTTGTAAGATTTTTTGAATAAGTAAAGAAAACTATAATAATATATTCTTGATATAAAGAAATGTTATATATCTTCTCAGATTTATGCCTTATCAAAATTTTTGAGAAACTTTTACCGTATGATGCTTATACCATATGAGTTTTTTTTACCAGTACTTTTTGAGATTCATTCTTTTCAAGCTTTCTTAAGAAAACATGTATCCTTACATGCTTTTATTTTTTGAAATTTTTTTTATATACTAATATATTTTTATACTCAACCTTCTGAGATTTTTAAATTTACCTATGTCATCTTAAGCTTTTAGCCTTATGAAGTTCTTAATGTAATTATATTATTTTAGGGTTATGCCTACTGAGAGTATTTATTATACACGTAACTTTTGACATTTGTAACCTTTTAGATTCATCAATACCTTCTAAAATATATACATATTGAGCTTTTAAATATTTAAATAACTTATCAGGCTTATGTTTTTGAGATTTTTTAGAGAGTAGAGATCCTATCAATTATTTGGTTTCATGGAATAGTCCTGAAGAGGATCATATTCATTATTAACTTTTTATCAAGGCTACCTTTAAAGGTTGTGCCTTCCACTAAATGCTTCCTTATCGGTTATGATTGGAAATTTAATTTTTCATTTACCCTTATGTGATCTTTTAATGAGAGCCCTATTTATTATTAGCTTCTCATTAAAAAAAATCTTAAGGTTTTATAAGAGATAAAAATTTGTTAGAAGATAATTCAAATTACTTTCAATGTATGTTAGTGTCTTAATTGATAGTGATTTATGCATCCACATGGTGGATTTGAACAATATGGAAGCATACAATTTCACATATAAGTGTAGAGTAAAAATGCCCAAAACAGAGTCCTCTAAGAAAGACTCATCGTAGTAGCTAAAATTTGTGAGGCCTTAATGAAAAATCTCTAAAAGTACTCATGAAGTAAGATTCCTTCATTTTGGTGAAATTTTGAAAGATAAAATGAATCTTTGACAATCAATTAATTATGATTTATTACACTATAATAATTCTAGTGAGTGTTGAATGTGTGGACAATCCCACATGGTGAAAGTTGAACCAAGTAGGAGCTTGATTTTTGAGGGTGATAGAAAAAAACTTAACAAATGAGTGAATTTTCTGGAAGAAAATTATTAGTGCAGAAAAATCAAGTCTTAGCTAAAAAAAATATCCAACACACACAAAAATATGAGTGATAAGAAACGATAAATTTTTTTATATGAAAAAAAATTGGAAGGGAAAAATCATGTGGCCCGGCCTAGTTAAAATAGTTCACCCTATCATTAAATTGGCAAAGTTTTACTCTTGAGAGCCAAAGAAGAATAAATTATAAACTAATGATATGTGCTTGTCATTTTGTCATTTTGTTGTTACAATGAGAGTTATCAAATGAAGTCATTAGATCATATTTGCCTAGAGGTTAATCAAGCATTAATAATCACATGTCATTAAATGTGTCATAACAATCACAATTAGGCAATAATAGACTTTAGTGGTGGTTAGGGGTGTAAACGAACCGAACACGAACAAACAAAGCTCGTGTTCTTGTTCGGTTCGTTTGAAATTACGTGTGTTTGAAATAGACTCGTGTTTGAAATTGTTCGTGAAGTTATTGCTCGTGTTCGGTTTGATTTATTTGAAAAATGTTTGAAATGTCTGAATTGTTCGAAATCTTACAAATTTGTTCGTATTATTTGAATTATTCAAATTGTTGGAAAACTTTTAAAATCTTAAACTTATATAAAATTAATGCTTAAACCTATATGAATCACATCACAAATGCAAATTAGCCGAAGCACAACTCACAATAAAACCATAATATCATATCTCATCCATAAAAAAATTCAGATCTAGAGGTAATATATGAGATTTCTAATATGCGAGATTTCACTACAAAAAACTAGGTTTCACTCAAAGAAACCAAATAAATCTAAAAGAAAAATAAGAAAATTTAAGCTAAGTGATGAACCTTATGATAAATACAAAATTATAAAATTTAATATAAGCTAAGAGACGAACCTGAAGATCAATTTATAATTTATAAGATTTAATTTTTTAAAACATGATAATTTTTAGAGTATATAATTATTTTTAAAATATGATAATTTATATATATATAATTATTTTAAATTTTTTGTATTTCGAACAATAATGATTCAAACACGATTGAACAAATGAATGTTAGTGTTTGGATCGTTAATAAACCGAATGAAAAAAAATGTTCGTGTTCGTCTCGTTTGCTTATCAAAAGAATCGAACACAAACCCCCCGACGAGCCGAACAAGAACTATTTGCGAACAACGATCTTTTTTGACAGCCCTGGTGGTGGTGGACAATTACTGGTGCTTGTTAGGATCTAGCTTTCTTTATAAGTTTTTTGAATAAAAAATTGATAAATCTAGCTAAATCCTCAAAACACTCTGTTGAACAGTCCATGTTGATTTTATTCAATAATTAAGCGTCTTAATAATTCAAAATTGAATAATCTTAGATTCTTATTTCCTTTCGTAGAGCTACTCGATTATTCTATGATTATAATGAATTAAGCTTCTCATTACATCTTAGCATCTTTTGCTTGGGCTTAAATCAAATTAATTATAGTATTATGGGGTTCACATTGCCAACTATTAGTTCATAAGTTTAATGTAATTAGAGCTTGGATGACATTCAATTTGACATTAGAAGTTATGCATATCAATGATAATTTTATAAACATACAAATATCTTTCATATGTAAAATTATGATAACTTTATTTTAATAATGTTGTAACATATAATATCATCTATAATATATATATATATATATATTAAACATTCATAAAAATTTTAATAATATGAACGGAGCATAAAAATGAACCACGAGAGGGGGAATAAATGCCAATTTGTCTCTGTTCCAGTCTAGACGGTAATGGCGATAGCCACGCTTGCTCCCTCTGCCATCATTTCCACGCTCGGCCGCAGAAATTTCTACTCAGCGAAAGCGATTGCTCCCAAAGATCGAGCCTTTATAGGCGGTTTCTCACCCTTTTCTTCTCCCGCTTCAGCTCCACTCAATTCGCCCTTCTCCGACCGAGAACCATCGCCGATTTCTCCTCCGACGTTCTTCCCTCCATCGCCGACTGGTTCGCCTTTTGGATTCCATCGTTCTGATCGGATGGAAGGAGGGAGTTACGCGGAGGAGCTGAGTGTGGCGGTTAGGGTGGTTCAGATGGCGTGCTCGCTGTGCCAGGAAGTTCAGGAGGGGCTCGTTGGGAGGAGGAGAGAGCAGATTAAGTCCAAGGATGACGATTCTCTGGTTACTATTGCAGGTTTGGATCATCTCGGTGCCTTTTTTTAATTTTGTTTTTACTTTTGGTTTAGGGTTTCCATTTGACGAATTGTGGTTTTTATTTTAAGAGTTGAGGAGCAGCTGTTGCTTGTTTTGTGTCCCGCATTTTGAAGCGGGAGCAGTAATGGGGACTTCGTTTTGTGATGTGATTCTGCATCTTCATTATTGGGATTCTTGAGTTTTTAGGGGTAATGACCATTGTTTTGAAGGTTTAAGAATGAATTCTGCCATGAATTGAGCTGCTTTTCATTCTTTTTGAGACTTGAGAATTGAAATTATTGCCGGCACATTCAACTGGTGAGAGGGTGCCTTTTTCAACATCCTGTTGATGGAGATCAGGTTGGATTATTTGTTTAGCTGTGGTTTTTGTAAATGTGTGGATACAAAAATAGGCAATTCCATCTTTATTAGGGTTCAGTTGCAGCCACTTTTCTGCTCTATATTTGCTTAAGTTTTCATCTTCTTTGCTGTAGCAGTAAATAGGTGTATTAGACATTCCACTGAGGGTCCCTGTTAGGGAAATTTCTAAGACAATATGTAGACTTTATGGCTGGCTTTCTCTAAGTTTAAATGTCAAAAAGATATCTATAACATTTGCAAAATGGCATATTTCTTTGTAAAACAATGGCATATAAACAACAGTAATGCCCATGCAGTTTGCAAGAATACACAAATGTACCTTATGTTTGGGTATTAACTTTTTGGAAGATAAATTAATAAGGGTTTTTGCTAAATTGTTAGTAAGAACTAAACACTTAAAATGTCTGTAAATTTTGAATATTTGACGAATAATGCAAAATAAAAGTATCTATCCATATGCATTACTTCAAATTAGTGGATTATTTGGGATTTATTTCTATCCTCTAAAACATATATAGAAAAAGTAGTTTAATGTTAAAAAGTAATACTTCAAATTAGTATTTATATTTTACTAATAATTTAGCAGAAAAGCAAAATCAAATTCTATAGTTCCTCTAAACAGAGTTTTAAAGAGAAGTATTATGAAGATAAGGCATAAACTGTTGTTCTATTTGCAAGGAACCCTTCTTTTGTCAAATCATCGCTGCCATCGTTAAAAGGAAGTGTTTTATGCAACAAATGTGTTTTATTAACAATATATGCATCACATCCTTGTTCCCATTTATGTCTCTATTCTAAATTGAAAATGACAAAAATAGCCAATGAAAGAGGTGCACACTTTTTATGGTGTTAAGACTTGTTTGATGTTGTAATATTTGCGAGGTATTAAATAGTGTATTATATGGATTTTATTTAGAATTCGTAATGAAAATATTGATTTTTTAATTAAAATTATTATATTTATTTCATTTTAATTTTCATTCTTGGCACGCCTAATGAAATATATAAAGGGGCAGATTTTATAAATATGGGAGTAATTTATATGTAGTATGTTTTTGAAGGTTAAAATTCATAAATTTGTTCATATTGTTTAAAAGTTACAGAAAATTGAAGTTTTTTTTTTAAATGATTCTTGTGCATGTATATTTGTTTATTATTTTTTAAGTGATCACAATAGTTCTTGTTAATGGAAAGTTCATGAAGATTTAATTCTGCATTAAAGCTTGTTTCTATGAGTGAATCTAACGGAGTTGTGCTTTTTTGTTACATGAAAAACTACTTTAAGAACCATTGAAGATCAATGAGAAAGTTATTGTTCATGCAATATGATAGCTGTGTGCAATTTTGAATGTTGTAAGGACTGCACTTATGTCATTTTTTTTTTTGCACAGAAAAATAAAGCAATTAAAAAGAAGGATAAATAATGTGTTACAAAGATATTATATTAGTTTCTTTGAGAGCTAATCTGATAGATACCAGTGTGGAGTTTAGCACTTAAAGGTGTGTATGATGATAGCTTAGAGTGAGATTTTGGGCTTCATTTGTCAGTGGAGTTAATAAATATAATTTTTTAGTAAGAATAAATTTCAAAACGATCCCAAAGTTTTGCAGTGTTCCAATTTAATCTTTTGACTATTAAAAATTTATCCCAATTGGTTTGTCGTGTAAAAATCTAAATAGTCGGAGGACTAGTTTGGGATTTAACCTGTATGTAAAGCTAAGGTTGACCTTTTTTTTGATCTATATTTAAAGAGGACCAAACAAGTAGTGAATTTACGAAAGAATTGTTGTAAGTTGACTTGGATATGCCTGATTTATAGAGGGAGACCTGCTTATGGAGGTGATACTTGTGTCAAGTCAAGAAGGAAACTGCCAATTTCCATTTTAGCTGTGATATAAAGAATGAAAAACCAAGCTAGAAAGTCAAAGGAGCCATGCATGGTTTAAGAAAATCTTCCCATGTATTTTGGCTAATTTGCATTCCTGTTGTGCAATTTCGAAGTATCTTAAAGTTTCTGCTGTGTTTTTTTCAGAAATTATTTGCAACAAGTTCAACTTAATGATTTTCATTTGCATGATAGATTGGGGAGTGCAGGCAACCATTAGTTGGGTCCTCTCGCAGTATTTTGGAAGCGAGAATGTCTCCATTGTAGCAGAAGAAGATGCTCACACTTTGTCTCGAAAAGATGCAACCAATTTACTTGAATCTGTCGTTAAAGCTGTAAATGGATGCCTCGTTGAAGCTCACAAATATGGACTCAAACCTCCTCCGAAGCCACTCCGAAGTAGCGAAGTTCTTGAAGCTATAGGAAGATGCAACTCCAACGGTGGACCTAAAGGAAGGTTTTGGGTTCTCGACCCTGTCGATGGCACCCTAGGATTTGTTCGCGGAGACCAATATGCTGTTGCCTTAGCCTTAATAGAGGATGGAGAGGTTGTGTTGGGCATTCTTGGCTGTCCAAATTATCCGATGAAGAAAGAATGGCTAAGTTATCATCAACAATATTATCGACTCATGTCAAAACTATCTCCGCCAGTTGCAGGATCATGGCATAAGGGATGTGTAATGTATGCAGTCAAGGGCAGTGGCAAGGCTTGGATGCAACCGCTTGTCCATGACCATGGAAAATTTGGATCAAATAATCTCTCTACGAAGTCGATCAAGGTATCGTCTGTTGATGATCCAGCTTTTGCTACTTTCTGCGAACCGGTTGAGAAGTCAAACTCGAAGCACTCGTTTACGGCTGGATTGGCGCGAAGTGTTGGTCTAAGGTATGCCATTTCCGTGTTCTATTAATTTTCCTGTTTAATGTTCCTATTTGTTTATGTTAGCATATCTAATCTATCACATATGCTAACTATTATTAGTAATAACGTATGCTTTTTTTTCTTTTGTTATGCTTTATTATTAGTGAGGATAGTTTACTTTATGGTCTTTATTGTTCTACTTTTTTACCCATAAATAGGTGCATAAATATTTATGCTATGAAGATAATTCATTAAAGATATAGTCCTTTGAAATTCTCTCTTGTATATACTAGTTTCAACATAGAAATCCATTGCTCTAGTCTAAAGCTCAAACTATTAACAATTATATCTTGCTCTCAATGTTTGGCCATCTGTTTTTTCATTGTTTTTAACAAAATTTCACAATCAAAATGAAGCTTGTCCTCTCAAAGGAAGATTATTATATATATAATTTCAGCCCAACAGCATAGTAGTGATTATTTTGTTATCTAATTCTATGTTGCTCAAAAGAGGACTTTGTGATCATTTTGTGCTGTGGACCTTTTTTTTGACATAACATGATACATAAGTAGGGTCATTGAGATTAGAAATGAGTGAATAAGAAATTATTTTATAGCACTGTCTTGAAATATTGCGCCATTGAAATTTGTGAACAACAATGAAAAAAGTGTCAAAATAGTCTCTTGACCTTCTGCAATGGATCATTTTAGTCCCAAAGTCAGTAAAAGTACTTAGTTTAGTCCCCAGACTCTTATAATGTGTTGAAATATTCCCACGGTGGATTATTTCAGTCTCAACTTAAAGAGTTTGGGGACAAATTAGACATTTTTATAGACTCCAGGACTAAAATGGCCCTATGTAAACTGTCAGGGGCCTATTTTAACACTTTACTCGGACAATAATATTCCGACTCAACCCTTTAATCGGAACTATAGTTCTGGATTAATCGCTCAACTATTTGACCAAACCACTTTGAATAATAATGATAACATTAAACTCATTTTGCAGAGTTTCAGATACCAATAGTAATTTCGTTAATGTTTTTCTACTAATCCTCTGGACAGAAAGCAACCTTTGAGAGTTTACAGCATGGTGAAATACGCCGCAATAGCCTGCGGAGATGCAGAGATCTTCATGAAATTCGCGAGGGCCGGATACAAAGAGAAGATTTGGGATCATGCTGCTGGCGTTATTATCATCCACGAGGCCGGCGGCGTCGTCACAGATGCCGGTGGCAGACCTTTGGATTTCGCAAAAGGCATCTACTTAGAAGCTCTCGATCGAGGCATCATCGCTTGTTCCGGTTCGCTGCTGCACGAGAAGATCATCAGAGCTGTCGATGCGAGCTGGGATTCATCCAACTTATAATAATTGTATCAACTCATCAGCAATCTTTTTGTTGCAGACTTCACCAATCAGCAAGCGAAAGGGTTACATTTTTCAGAATTCTAGAGAAGGCTGTGAAATTTGGTTCAGGCTCAATGTACTGGACCTTGTAGGTAAAAAAAGCTGGAACCTTATACAGAAAATGAGAGGAAGGAGAATCAGTAATATTTCTATTATACCATCTTCTTCGTCTTTGTTATGGTTATATCTGCAACAAGCGATGGCTAAGTGTAAGAAAAGGATTTGTAAGCAGAAATGGAGAGTTTTTATTTTTCTTTTTTTTTATACATGAAATGGAAGCTTATTGTATATATATTTTCATGGTTTCGTGGTTTGAGAAATTGGAAAAGCTGGTTCTGGTGCAAGTTGTTTTCTTTGGTTTAAGAAATTGAAACGTTTAATGTTAAATAAACCTTATGTTTCTTAATTTCTATATGTTTAGGGTCATTTAAGTAAATACCACTCATTTTCTGTGTATTTGCGCATCCAATACGTATGCCGCCAAAATCATTCATATCACCTAAAATGCAAGATGCATCTTTTTGATGCATGGATAAGGAGACATGTACGTAAAAATTGAAGTTCAAAGTGTTAGACATGTCAATATATATGAATTGAGTGGTATGTATGTAAATCTTCCTTTCAAAAATATGCTTGAGATAAATTTGCTTATTTTAGTTGAGAGATGGATGGAAATAGTGGCACATAAAATGAATTTACTAATACTCTGAGAAAAAAAAAGGTAAAATAAAAAAAAATAAAACCCAATGCATAAGTTCCTAGTTGTGATTGCTGGTTTCAATTTTTATTTTTTTATTGGTCATTCAATAATTCAATGAATTACTTTTGACAGAATAGGACAATCGGACAATATTCGAAGCTGGAATAAAAGCAGTATTTAGGCAGAATCAAGTTAGTTGGACTATGACAAGCGCACGATAGATATGAAAACAAAGCTGAGGCTTTTATTAAAGGCGATTCATACAAAACAAGGGTCAAGTCAATAAAAGCAGTATGTAGGCAGAATCAATATTCGAAGCTGGAATAAAAGCAGTATGTAGGCAGAATCAAGTTAGTTAGAATATGACAAGCGCGCGATAGATATGAAAACAAAGCTGAGGCTTTTATTAAAGGCGATTCATACAAAACAAGGGTCAAGTCAATAAACAATGATGTAAGCACCTGATAAAATTTGTTTTATTTTTGGAAAGGTGAGGCTCACGTTCAAGTAAACACATTATATGTATATATAATTAAAAAAAATAACAATGACATTGAAAGGAAAAATATAGTAAATAATAATGATTCCCATTCAGAGGAATTAAAAAAAAAAAAAACCTTAGATAATTAGGGGCTAATATATGATTAGGAGTGTTTGGGAATAGTTGTTTGAAGAAGTAGCTTTAAAGTTGTTGCAGAAGTAATTGTTGTTCAAAAGATTATGATGACCGCTATAAATTTATTTTAATTTTAAAAAAATCAGACAGTAGTTCAGGTTGACAGAACAGACTTCTAGCCCAAAAACTCCTAAAAAGTAGCAAAAAAAAGTAGTTCCCAAACAGAAAATCGGAAAAGAGAAACAACGTCGCAAAAATACCCTTAGGCTCCATATGCAGCAGATCCAAGCAACATATTTAATACAGAAAGATTTACATGCACTCAATTCTTATCCATTTATATATCTAAAATCTAAGTTTTAAGTTTTACACATATACTACCTTACCTATACTTAAAAGAGTTGTATTTCACTTTTAAAAGTTAAAATTGCTGTACTTTGATTTGATATGAAAGATTCGGTGAAAAAAATATAAAAAGCAAAATTTAGATGTCAGGTATGTAAATATATAAGAATTGGATGGCACTTATGTCAACGCCTCATATAATACAATGCTTAGCAATTCTTGAAAGGCATGGCATGGCTAAAAAAAAAAAAAAAAAAAAAAAAAAAAATTGGTATTTGCTCCCCCGCCCCCAAAATACTAAGAAACGCAATGCAATCAGATCGAGTATACAGTCAAAACAGACCATGAAAGTAAAAGAGAAAGTGACCAAAAGAGTGGCCGTATTAGTGACATATGATAATGAATGGCAGAGAACTTTAATTATTCGAAATATTAAAATTTTATATTCTTAGGAAGATTAAATTTAAAAATTTATTTTCTACTCTACTGGCAAATATCAAAATTGATTCAAAGTTTAGCTCCAATCGAGATTGAAATAAACTTGCAGAGATATGAGCTGAAACTTTGGATTTTTTTTTTTTTAAAGC